GCCGGGGCCGGGGGGGAGTGCGGGAAGTCGCGGCGCGTTTCGGGCCGCGCTTAGATTTCACTAGCGTGAATTGGGCTGAGTCGGTTATCGTTCGTAATCGATGAGTCAGATGAATCCGAGGAGCCGGTGGAGCTGAGGGCGGTCCTCTTTCGGGAAGAGGGGGTAACGGGCGTGGTGTCCGAGTGCTCCATATCGGAGTCGAGGGACGCGAGCGAGTCGGTCTGCGGGGCAGCCGCTTGGGTCGCGGGGAAAGCCGCGACGGCGGGCGGGGGGACACATGCCTTAGGGGCAATGGGAGAAAAAGCGTTGACAAGAGCGATCTCGTTGATTTGGAAGGGTAATATGGTTCCGGCCCATAGAAATGGGCTGTGATGATTGCCCGGGTAATGGGGAATACCCCGAGGCCCGAAACCTGCAGGGATAAATAATAGTAGTCCCTTGCAGACGACAACACGAAGCTAAGAGTGAAGCATGACTCAATTCGTGATTTGGACAACGATTCGATAAAGACATTGTATTGCACAGTCGTCGTTTGTTTTCTATGTTATGTCGTTACATATATATCGTTATGTAAACTTTAAGCGAAACGACAGTAGCCTAATGGCAGGACGCGAACCGAGAACTCAAAAAGGTCGTGGGTTCGAATCGGCCATTCGACTACTGGCGTGAACCACTCGTAACACAAGCAATATAAGCTTACCACGAGTGGTTAAGGGGAATATTAGTAATGTCTCTAATTGGGCGACCATGGCCATAAGTTGGCTCTCGAAATAGCTCATGTCGATGGCAGACATGATGCTAGAAATGATTTGGACAGGGGGGGGGGGGTGACGATTTTAGTCTAAGAATCTAGAGGTCCCTGCTCTGAGAAGAACAGGGCCTTGGGTGGCAGATGGGGGAGAGGACTGACGCTCTATAACCAGAAGCTGGGGTCCCTATGTTCTGACAAGAACAAGGGCTCGCTCTGAGAAGAGCACGAACGATCTTTCAAGAACAGTAACAAATAACAAAGTAACAGTATAACAATAAACAATAACAGAACAATTAAAAGTAAAACAACAAACAAAACAATAAAAGCAAAGCGCGCTCAAACCTCCCGCCGGAGCGTGGGGGCAAGAACGATACGAAAACAAAGGACCTCACCAACGGCGTCTGCTCGGCTGGTGTTAGCCGGGGAGAGCGGGGCGCGCGGGCGAGAGGTTGCACTCCGCACGAGGTCGGAGCACGAACTGTATGCACGACCGCACGGAGGCGGTGCGCAGACGGAACTGAAGTAAGGAGTACCAACTCCCATAGTAGAATAGTTGAAAAAGTGGTCATCTGTAAGCAGTAAATAACAGTTCAAAAACTCTCCACAACAGCGCTGGAGTAGCTACTGGGATGAAATGAAATTAGCAGCTGTCAACGGTTTGAAGTGTACGTGTACTTCTGCTCCACACCTCCATAGTGCCACCATGGAGGACGGAATTAAAGAGCTTCTGAAGGACTTAAGTACCAGTTTTCCATCCGCTTTCAGATGATCCGCTGTAATTCCAATCTCGCCTGGGACCTTTCCGTTTTTAAGGTGCTGGAGAGCCACTCTAATCTCGCTCGAACTGACGTCCAGGATATCATCGGAATAGTGTTGGATAAGACTTGCTATTGGATCGTTACTAACACTTGCGTGTGGCTCCAACGATAATGTGTACAGTTGCCCATAGAACCTCTCAATCTCACTCAAAATCTCAGGTGTCCCGGAAACGATGCTGCCACACTCAGTCTTCAGCCTTGACAGTTGGCTCTTTCTGACAGACAGACCTCTGGCAAAGACTTTGGAGCCCTTGTTCCGCTCGATCGCTTCTTCGCGTTGACTTCTTTAGACGAGATCTCTCCAACTTTTTTTTTTTAACATGGGGAAATGCCTACGCATACCCGCCTCGCGGGGGCAAGGACGGGTTATGTCGGACTCGCACCGACTAAAACCCCATGGTGTTCCACCTTCGTCGCATATTGGCAGGGCTACGGGAACGCTTTCGCACACTTCCGCGGCCCTACCAGCGACTGCCGCCCCATGGCAGCACCTCCTCGGGAGAGGAATATTCCTCCCCGTTCTCCTTCCCAAGTAAGGCGCACCAGAACACATGGCACGCCTTCCTCCACGGCCTCCAATTGCATCTGCGCAACAGACGCCCCCGCGTCCGATGCGCGAAGGCCATGGGGCCAGGAAAAACGAGCACTTAGAAGTACTAGCCTTCCCGACCCCAGCGGCGGATCTGGTCTATGGCTCCGCCGCCAACCAAGATTCGGCTGCGGAGGATAGGGAGAGCGGCGCCTCGCAATACCGACAATCCTCCCCCCCGCAGCCCCATCACCACCGCATCAACGGTGCGGCCCCGTTTGAGTCGCGGAGGATAGGGCGAGTGGCGCATCGCAATACCAACACTCCTCTTCCTCCGCGACTCCACCTCGGCTGCAGCGGTAGAGGGTGCGGAGTCCCCACTCGCTGCAGTCCACCAGCACACATCCGAAGTGGGCTCCCCAAGCCCACTCGGAGTGGACACCTCAGGCCGGCCCTTCACCTCGGGCCAGCCACGTGGGTTCCTCTTTGTTCACCGTGGGAGACCACACCACGGCTACTAAGCCCCCCGCCACGACAAGGCGGGAACCCGTTCGGGGGGGGGGAGATCTCTCCAACTTAACGTTTAGGTTCAGTGTGCCTCTAACCATTCAGTGATCGCTGCCATTTTTTACCCTTGCGATCCCTGAGACATCACTGAACAGTTGTCTAGTCGTCATAATGAAGTCAATCTCATTTTTTTTCGAACCGTCGGGGTTCGACCAGGTCCACTTTCTACGAGGCCGCTTAGGAAAGAAAAGAGTGCATCATAAAGAATCCCTCGTGCTCCATGAAGTCGGCCAGCTGCTGGCCCCTTGGGTTCCTGTTGCCTTATCCCAAATTTCCCTACCTTCAGCGGACCGATTTTTCTTGTGCCTAGATTTGCGTTGAAGTCTCCCATTAACACCGAATAGTGAGTTTTGAAGGAATGCGTGGTTTTAGAAATATCCTCATGCATTACCTCTACCTCCTCATCGGGATGTGCCAACGTTGGTGCGTAAACCTGTATGACCTTCAGCGAATACCGTTTGACGATTCTGAGTACAAGGTTCGCAACCCTCGTCAACACACTCCCAATCTTTATAAAGTTGTTAACTGGAGAGACTTGTGGACGATAAACCAACGAGTTGCCGGATTCGAGAATCACCGTGACCTCTTCGGACCTCGGATAATCCTATAATATTCCAACACAACTTGTCTATCTCTTCTTCCAGCTCCAGGATCTTCTCGTCAGTCCTCATGGTGCGTGCGTTTTAATTTATCAGGTCGATTCGTTTTAGGTGGCAACCGAACCCCTACTGGAGATTGAGTTGCCACTTAAAACGACTCGACTCGACTGAAGCATCCCCTGCCCTGCCGTTACCATGGTCTGGGGGCCGTCTATTTGCGTCGTTGCTCATGGGGGGTATATTGCCATAGTTGCCACGCTTGGCGAACGGGTTGGTAGCTGCGAGTTTTTGTTACTTTTATCAGGAAGATGCTGCTGCCCATCTTCTGCCTGCTTCCCTCTGTGGCCTTTTACGACACCCACGGGAAGATATGGGGTAGTGGATATTCTTAACCGCCACTACACGGTTTTTGTTTATTTTGGTTGATTTTATTCCGTCGTGTCAGAATAAATGCAGATTTTAAATGATTTATGCTGTTTTATTTTAGTTTTATCAAATGACCCCAAAACTTCGAAAAATCCGGATTTTAATCATAGGAAAATACAAAAATTCGGATTCAAAAAAATCCGGATTTTGCAACCTCTAGTAGCGATTACCCTTTATTATCATCTATAAATTCCGTAATATTATAAACTCTTTTTTATACAAACTTAGTTTAATAAAGTTTATAACTTTGTGCAAGCCAAATTTTGTATATTTTCTGGGATTTTGTTGCAAAAGCGTATACATCACCCCATTAATGAATTACTAACTCGGTGGAGTCGAGTACCTTTTTTTTATTTTATAGAAAAATGGTGACAAACGAGCACACAGTCCACCTGATGGTAAGTTGATGCTGTGGCCCATAAGCATTTACATTTATCCTCGATTAAGAATCAAAACGCAGATGCGTTGTCACTCCTGAGGACTAAGATGGAATGCCTTGTTTCCAGTAAAAAAGAGTCTCCGAATCTCTACACTCACCATACGAAACACAGCAATATTAAGCTGCTATTTTACGCTGGTATTCTTTGAGAGCGTGTTCCCTCCCCGGTCGAGCCGTCCCATTCGTGCTACAATCATAATGCATGCATAGCTGCAGCGCGGCTCTACCACGTAAAAAAACTGAACAAAAACTAAAAATTTACAAATAAATTATTGTCTTATCCTCTTTCTCCCTTTATTTTTATAGTGCCCGAGAGCTTTTTCCTTCATAGGCTCATTTACATTAAAAAAATTATTTTTACAGTGAGGACATTGTTTATATCTTTACACTAATTGTTTATAAAAAAAATGTAGATTTATTTATTAAATAATCAGTTAAATCATATTTGTATATTATACTTACATGTTAAGAAATTTAAATTAACTGTCATAATTAATTTATATTTAATATATAATTTTTATCAGTATCTTTTAATATTTCTATTGAAATATGTTCAACTTGGGCAAAGAAATCAAACAATGCTCTGGTAGGATAACATAACCACTTTTTATATTCATATTATTTCATTTTTATAAATTTATGAAAACTTAATAAATGTTCTACTTCCAAATCATGCCTGCAAGTCACACAGGTTTTAAACACATGTTTCCTGGCAAGCTGTGCTATCCAGCCACTGCAATAACCTATTGCTGGGCATTTTTCAAGATCTGTTGGAGTTTTACTTGCTAATAGTGCATCTGTATAAATAGAGTCTATATATAAATGAGCATAGTCTACTTCATCTTCACATTCTGTTGCTGTGTTGTTTTGTCTAGGATTCGTTAAAACATTTTAAGAACTGGAGACAAACACTATCATCTTTTTCACATTTAGGATCAAACTGAAAACAAAAACTGAATGTAAAGATGCTATATTGTTTATTAACAATGTTATAAATGCTCCTTCAAATGCAGATGCCGTAGGCATTATATTACTATAGCCATGAGCTCGGATTGCTCCAAAAAAGTTCTCGAATGGATCTTGGTTAAAATTTAGCAGTAATAAAGAGTTGATCCCTTAAGAATTTAAAATTTTACAATATTTTTAAATTTTCTATTGTTTTAATCCAACTGGATAAAGATGGCAATACACCTTGACTATTACTGCTTACAAATTTCATACTTTTGAGGATTGGGATACTATAATTCCACAAATTGTGATGCGGTGAAGTTGAAGTTACTGCAGCACGATACTTTTTTCTTCCTACAATTTCGCTGTAACTACCATTCACGCTGTCAAATAGGTCATCGAAAAACAATAGGAGGTCCGCTGTCTCAACACTGCTCTTATCAATAGCTCCCAATTCTGAAATGAAAAAGAAATATATGAACAAATATTAGTATTTTTTTATACCTGCTGATTTGTACAAAATAAGCAAGGTCCAATGACAAAATGTGGAATAGTCATTTCGCAATTTCAGGTTTGTATCTATAGTAAAAAGTTGTTCACAATGATGAGTACAATGACCCTTTCTAGGATAGAACCTACTTTCTTTTTATTTATATTAGGTTTACTACCTCGCATTGTTTACACAAAATTTTAAATAATGTCTGCTTACCTGCCAGACACGCAAGGCCCACTCCAACAGATTGACTAAACACTTGTGTGCAGTGTTTCTTTAGGATTAAATTTGGTAAGACGTGGTGAGCAGTCAGCTTAGGCACCTCTGTAACCTGGGCAACTATTATATAAATCAACAATGTGCGAATATTGAGCAATATTTGTAATTTTCAGGCAGTTTTGCAACTATTTTTTCCAAATTATTAAATATTAACTTGTTGACTCCAGGGCTTAAGTCAAATTTGTGCAATAAATTTTACAGTGTTCTTTTGCTCGACAAAACACACAAGTTGCTTAGCAAATGATAAGCATTAGGAGCGGGCTTATACAATGACAATGCTAATTTATTTTCATCTAGCGTGAAACGCCTGCCATGTTTTTTCTTGCCACTCTGAGAGGCTTGCATTAGACAGAATAGTTTTGCAGTAGGTGACATTTATGATGACATAATTTCAAATGCTCTGGTTCTCGTCATTTTTTTTGCAAGAATATATTTTCTTTTCAAGGCAATCTTAGTATCTTCACATTTCTTCAGCAGCTTCAAGATTGATTTTAAACTCTTTAAGTTACATAAGGACCTGAAAAAAGAAATATAGTTTCAGTTATAAAAAAATATAACTTCAGTTCAGCTGATGCAAATAAAAAACCGAAATTATAGCGCGGAGGAGGACATACAAAAAAAGATTAATATTCAGAAGTGTTAAAGTATATTTTTTCAAGTTACATCAAAATATGTCGAGGCGAATCAGACTCCAGGAGTCGATTGGACAGACATGGGTATTTTGACATCAAACTCTAGACGTCTGATGAACTGACAAGGGGTAGAAATAGGTGAAGGTGTTAGTTAGAGATTTTCCCATGTTTATAGCTAAAGTGTTATTTGATAGCTGATATAACCTGAAAACTTATTTACTTTATAGCATTTTTCCCTTGCCTTTAAATGAAAAGGTGATAAGTTATTATGTTATAATAAACAATTATTGATTTTATGCAATAGTAGTTGTAGGTAGACTCAACCTAGGTTTAAAGAATTTATTCTCACAAAAAAGATTACATAATCCACTTACATGAGAACAATAATATAAACTTAATCTAGGTAACGGTCACCGTATTCACAGTTCCATCGTGACACTCTCCGAAATTACAAGTCAGTAGCTTTCAAGAATGTAGTTGTGCAATTGAGACTTGAACTTGTTAAAGGAATCTATATTTTTAATATGAGAAAGTAGGCTGTTATAAAAGTGTGCTCCCTCAAAGGTAATATTTTTTTTCCCTAATTTGGTACGTGTCTTTGGCAATACGAGCAAGCTAGGTCGACGAAGACTGCGTTTGGATATTTGTGACTTTTTGGTAAAGGACAAACTAGTTTGGATGTTTTTACTCATGATCTTCCTAATTAGAATGCAAGTGCTATATATATAAAGTTGTCGAATGTTCATTATTTTTGTGTCATCAAAAATTTTACGAGTCGATGTTAAGTATGGGTAGGAGAAAAGTATTTTTATTGCTTTATTTTGAGCTCTTTGTAGTTCCTGCAATTTCGTTTTGGCGGCACTGCCCCATATTTCTATTAAATATAATATATGAGATTTGATAAGTGAATTGTAAATATTGAAACGTAGTTTCCTAGGTATACATTGATTTATGTTACAGAGTGAACCCGTTAGCGACGATAATTTGCTTTTTATATATTCTATCTGTTTGTTCCATGTTAAATTACTATCCATTCTCAGACCAAGATATTTTTCACAAGTTTTTTGTTCGAGTGGAATGTTGTCAATTGTTAAAGGAGCATGCGGGGGGAATTATTTTATTTTTCGACTTGTAGATAATATAGCATGTTTTTAAGATGTTGATTGTTAACAGGTTGGACTGAAACCATTCAAACAACATGTTAAGGTCTTCTTGAGCTTTTGAGATGATTTCGTCCATATTTGTACCGAAATAGAATAGGCATGTATCGTCTGCGTACAAAGTTAAATGGCCGTGTAGTCTTAAATCCGTTATATTGTTAACATAGATAAGGAAAAGAAGCGGTCCCAATATGGACCCTTGTGGGACACCATATGTAATGGGTTGGGTATTGCTTTGGTTATTATCTATTTTGACTATCTGTACTCTATTTGTTAGGTACGACTCAAACATTTTAAGGGCACTACCTGTGATACCAATGTGCTCTAACTTTTTTAAAAGTAACTGGTGACTTACGGTATCAAAGGCTTTTTTCAGGTCGATGTAAATGCCTAGAACAATCCTTTTCTTATCTAGGTTTTCTTTAATTTTTGTTGTTAAATCTACTATTGCCGCAGTTGTATTGCTTTTTGACCGAAAACCGTACTGACGTGGAGATATAAAGTTAAATGAATCCAGGTAACTTGATAATCGGTTATGTATTACTTTTTCTAGGATTTTCGACAATATTGGTAGTACAGAAATAGGACGATAGTTTCCTGGGTCAGTTGTGGGCCCGGATTTGTAAATTGGTGTTACTTTTGCAACCTTCAAAGTATCGGGAAATTCGCCGTCAGTCATAAGTTTGTTTATTGAATGTGCCAGGCCTTCAGAGATTAGATCTTGCAAACATTTTAGGACTTTTGTGCTGATTTTGTCTATTCCACTACTAGTATTGGGATTTAGGTTGTGAATAATTTTATTTATTTCATTTGCATTACATGGGGTAAAGGCAGACAGTTTATGATCGTTTATTTTTTGTTGTATGAAATCAGGATTCAAAGTACTATCGTGATATTTGTTAGGTATTTTGTTTGCTAATAGAGAACCTATAGTAGAAAAATATTTGTTAAAAATATCACAAACTTCATCTGTGTCGCTAATTAGTTCAGAGTCTATTAAGAGCTTTGGAGGAGCACTACTTTGTTTTGTTTTGTTATTTGCTAGGTTATTTATAAGAGCCCACATCTTTTTAGGATTATTAGTATATTTTGTAAATAGTTTATAGTAGTAGGAATTTTTCGTATTTTGTATCAGTTTAGCTATTGTGTCTCTTTTTTGCTTGTATTCTTGTTCTAGTCTCTTGTCATCCTGATTTTTTTTGTGTTGCAACCATAGGTAGTTCCTTTGGGTAATCCCAGTGATTATATCACTGTTGATCCAGTCATTTTTAGGCGGGTTCAGTGTTTTCGTTTTCACTACTCGATTACGTGCTACGCATTGCTTTATTTTATTTTCAAGATATTCGTAAGTGTCTGCAGTGGCTTCCGTTTCATATGATTCCATTTCAGTATACATTCTTTTGTAATCTATTGCCTCATAAGTCGTTCTTAAATTCTTGTGTGGTTCATATTTATTCAATTGCAGGAAGATCTGTTTGTGGTCTGTCATGGACGAGTTAATAATAACAAAATTGAATTGTTCACATTGAAGATTTGTGCTGACATGGTCTATGATAGATTTCTTCGTCTCTGACTCTCTAGTACAATATTTTTTGTGAATTTTATTTAATAACTTGTGGCCTGATTCTCTTATTGTATGTTTGTACTTAGTTGAAGTTTTGTCATTCGTAAGTAGGTCTATGTTTAAATCTCCGAATATAATCGATCTCTTTTGTTGTAGCAATTGTGCACCATATATTTTTAAAAACTTTTCAACATTGGTATGTCCGGGTTTGTATACCACGCCAATATTGATTCCGAATTTTTCTAGGTGTATCCATAAGAAGTTGTTTCCTTCTAGATACGTCGATTCTATAGAGTGATGTTTCAAGTTGTTGTGTATGTACGCTGATACTCCTCCACCTATGATATCGTTCCTGTAGTTATAATAATGAGTGTAGTTATCGATCTGTAATTGTCGGGCTTGTTCTTCATTTCGTATCCAGGTTTCTGTTACTAATATTACGTGTATAGGTGTTGGTGTCGATTTTAGAATACATTTAAGTTCGTCTAACTTTCCTTTTTTTCTGATACTTCTTGCATTTAGGTAGAGAAATGAAACACCTGATTTTCTTGTCTGTATGAGTCTGTAGTCACTTACAATTTGATATAATATATCAGAATTCTTTGTATGCCTTATTGGCCGTTGGAGTTTTTTGAGACAGATTTAACGATGTTTGGTATGCCATTTATGTATCTTATCGTAATATCATCTTCTCCGTTATTTTTGCGTCTTGTAAGTTCATTCTTTATGGTTAGAAAGTGCTTTTGTTGAGCAGGAGTTTGGTCAGAGAAAATTTTGATGTTAGATGGTAATTTGGCTTTGTTACGTAGTAGTACCATTGCAGGCTCTGGTTTGTCAAAACAGACTTTAATTCTACGAGTCTTTTCAGGTTTGTATTTGCCAATACGAAAAATTTTAATCGGCTTGGGAATGTCTTTGCTTACCACGGCTGTTATGTTTAAAACCTCAGCTTCGTCTTTTGCAACCCTCTCCTCAGTACTGGTAGCAGTCTGTTCTGATATGCCAACTATAATAATATTTTTTTCTCTCTTTTTTCTCTCTTTAATTTCCTGAATTATTTCTTCATATTTCCTCAACTGATTCGGCTCTGATGAATCAATGGTAGTAGTGGTAGATGTCTTGAGACTACCTTCAAGACAAGTGAGCCTGTCTTCGTGCGTAGAAAATTTGCTATTTAAATCTGTTATACATCCTTTGATGTTGTCCTGGTCTTTTACTATCCTCGAAGTCGAGGATTTGATATCTTTGATCTCTTCGTTCAATGTTTTTATATTTTCACGCATATCGGTCATTAATTTCTCCTGTGATATAACGAAATTTTCTAATAGATTATTCATACGCGATACCTCACTGCGTAGTCCTTGTATCTCAGCTTTGCAGTCACAGTCGTGGTCCATTTTTTTTCTTTTACGGATACTAACATTACTTTCTTCTTCCGTCCTTCTGGACAAGTCTGGTTGTGAGTTGTATTTTGATTCATTGCCATTTGGTGATCGAATCATGTTGTATCAGTTTATAAATAAGTCGATATAATAGAAATGCAAAACGATATTTTTATTTACAAATGCGCAAGCGCTCTGTTCAATAATTGTCTAGTCACTTATGCACCACACAATCACTGTTTCACTTACACTTAAGCGTAGTATCGTCCGTGCGACACGGAGTAACCGAGTAACCGAGTGGTCACTGCTTTTGTTCGGAAATAACCAGAAAACGAGACACTGAGCGCCCGGGTTGAGCGCCATACGCCAGGGGTCTTGACGGTTGGTTTTCCGGTATGGAAGCGTCTAGCGACCGTAGACACGGAGGTCTGTGTTAAGCGCCGTAAGACAGGGGTCTTGGTTACTGGTTTTGCAAGAGGATTCGCGTAGAAACGTGTGAATACGATGGCGACCTGCGCCGAACTCTAAAACGAATCAAGTGACAGGTCAATTAATGTGTGGAAAGTGGGCATACTTCTTTGTTTAATAAGCAGTGAGATGGATATCAAATCGATGGCTCCTAAGTATAATGATCAACTACAAAATTCAAATTTTACAGGAGCGCCAGTCAAAGATTAATTGTTTATAACTTTTTCAATTTTTGTACTAGAATGTTGATTTTTTTAAGTTTGTGTTATTTTAAGATTTGAGACACTTATATAATAAAGTAGTGGACATGTTTTAGTGAGTTTCCAAGATAATGTAGTTGGCTTAGTGTACATCATATAAATTATGGCCTATAATGAGCTAACTGTCACATACACTCGTTTACAATGTATTTGAATATTCATCATATCTTTAGGAAAAAGTATTAGGTTTATAAATACATAAATACAGTATTGTAATTTATTTTCTTGGACTAGTTAACTGACATTGTATCTACAATTTAAATGATAATAAATTAGTTGACTCATTATACACTGATTTTTATGTCCGAAATCGGTTAGACGAAGTAGCAGTAAATTGATATATCTGCAAATTAAGCAAGATTATAGCTTGTTAATTTTTTAAACAAAAAGAAAATAACATTGTTTTTATATTTTTATAATTTTTTATTGAAACATATTCAATTAACAATCAAGTAAGTAGTTAAACTATTAATATTTTCCATAAAACAAAGAAATTTAAATTTCTGTATTGAATAAAGGTAGAAAACAAAATTATATTTGTATTAAAATTACTTAACAAAATTAAACGCCTTTTTTCTCTTCCTAATCAGATATTTAATTAATTTTTGGAGATATTTGTTTTAATAAAATTCAATAAAATAAAATATCTTCAGGAAAAAACAATATCTAAGTAGATACATCAGGGTTTTTTTCAATCAGAGTCGGACTCATCGTTATTAGTATTGCCCGTAATTAGACTATTATAAAATAAATGATATTCTTTTAGTATGACTTGACTTTTAAAATGGTCCATAAGATCTTTGTGTTTATTTTTATAAATTGGCAGGGGCTTTTCGTAAGCTGTGCCTAGAATTAGATCCACCTTTTCTTTTTGGTTGTTTCGTGTATTCTTCGGTTTATTTATTTATTAGTCAATCCATTTAACAGAATCGTCTTCATAGTTATAATATAATTTTAAAGGGATCTCTTTCTTGTATTTTGATTTCACACACTTTGTTCTACGACATTTTAGTTCCATCGCTAGTAGATGTCCAATTAATGCAGTGTTTGAGATGTCTTTTAAAATCAAGAATTGACTCCTTTTACATTTCAGTAACATTATAGGGCTTGCCATCTGTTTTAGCCCATTGAAATGCGGCATACCACTGGTCTGGGGTATAAATAATCCTGTCTTTTGTTTGTCTCTCAATCAATTTTTTGTTTTGTTAACGACAAGGAAACAATGAATAATACTTATATAAAATTTGTTACAAGCATACATATACATTAAAAATACGATTCTGTTTCGATTCTGGCTTCCACAACTGTCAGACCAAAAATGATACTCTATTATACCTTTGGATACTGTCATTTCAATAAATTTATAAACAGCTTGCAACTTCATTAGCTCCCCTTTTAGCTGTTTGTTGATGCTAAGAATAGCAATACCCTTGCAAAGATGCCATATCAAAAATGGTGAAATTAGACATGGATAGTTTTCTTTTATAGTAGAATGTACTTACATTCCCATGAGGTACATTTAAACATTTCTGCAAGTCAAAAGTACAAGCTAAAAACTCTTTACTTTGTATTGCTAATTCCTTGTCTTCTTTTTTATATTTTCTAGCTGTTTCTTTTTGTTTCAAATGATTTCTTTGATGTTGTATTTCTTCTTCGGTAGGCTGTGTTTTATTTTCAAATATGTGACATTCTTCGCATGCATCTTTTTTTTATATAGGATAGGGTGACAAACGAGCACACAGTCCACCTGATGGTAAGTGGTTGCTGTGGCCCATAGATATCTACATCTATCCTCGATTACGAATCAAAATGCAGATGCGTTGTCACCCGTGAGGACTAAGATGGAATGCCTCGTTTCCAGTAAAAAAGGGTCTCCGGTTCTCTACACTCACCATACGAAACACAGCAGCATTAAGCTACTATTTCACGCTGGTATTCTATGGTATTCTATGAGCATCTTTTTTTGGGCTTACGGAAGGCAATATTTATATTTTTGTTTATAATATCACGATATTGTCGTACAGAAGACGCTTTGCTAGAAGAAGCGTTGGAATCAAACCACTCCTCATAAAGCTTATACATTTTGGGAAATGCCAATGAGCCATCCAAATACTTACGTTTCGAATCTTTGCGAACGTAATGAGCTTCAACAGGTGCGAGAGCTTCAATATGATCAATGACACTACGTACCATATCGATTGTTATAGTTTTTGGATGATTTACATGTTTTCCTCGTTGATCCGATTCTACAAACCCTTTTCCACGGTCAAATTTTTCTAGAGCCGTATAAACAAAGTTAAAACTTATCAAGAGGGTTCTAAGGAACGTTGTTTTACAAACACATATTCGTTTTATCTCTGCATTTTCATTTGATTCCAAACATAGTAAATAATATTTAATAGTGTATAGCCGCTTGGAATTTTCAGAAACAGTTAAGCGCGCTTTTGGTAGTTTTATTACGTACTTAGTGATAAAGTCCCACTGTCGTGAATGATTGCCAATTCTCCAAAACATCTCAAAAATTCTTTTTCGGTTCTCTTCTGATATCCTATCATAACATTTTTGACGGCAGCTTTTAGGGCAAGGTGGTTTTAATTGTTTTTCAGGGTGTATTTTTCCATTTCTACTGGTGTACTCTAAAGCTCTATTCACTTTGTATTTTCTTTGGCTATCCTTCCATTCTTGCTTATATAACTCCCTTAAGCAACCCTTGTCTTTTTTAATATTTGAACTTCGCTTGCGTCGATTACTTGGCTGATTAGGAGTACTAACAGCAGAATCAGTATCTTTTATATAAGACCAATCACTAGATTGATTATCAGGTACTGAAAAACTAATGTTTATGGTACTATTTGGACTAGAAAACGAGATTGCTGGTGAAGGTATGGGGGTCGTAGTGGTCTTAGTCTTAAATCCGTTTACAGGTATCCTGATAGGTGAGGATTCTCTTGAATTTTCTATTATTGATGACGAATAGACTGACTCAGGTGAAGTATTAAGAATACTATCAGGAAATATAGAAGCGTTGGATGGCAAATCTTCTAGAATATATTCACTGTCTTCTAGGTCTACGTGGTCTATAATTGACAGTTCATCTTTGGTAAAGTTAGCACCAGGTGGCAAAGGAGACGACTCTGAAAATAAAACAAACACACTCTTTTTATCATAAAAACAGTCTCTTGAAACTATGTAAAACAGTATCACTTTATAAAACGTTTTGAGAGTCAACTACTAAAATGTAGCTTCGTGTATTTATAATTATATGTATATGAATGAAAAATTATAAGATTCATGAAACTTTTGCGGGCACCTAATCATATTATTAATGTAATCATCCTATGGGTGTCGTAAAAGGTCACGGAGGGAAACCGAAACCGATGGACAGCAGTACTTGACAACGACTCAAAATAATAGAAAAATTACGGTTGCCAACTAGCTTGCACAGCGTGGCACCTAATATATAAGGGATAACCATTAATGAGGCAAGCTATGGCAGCACATACTGACCGACTGACGGAAGTTTAAAATAAATATACTGAGTCAAGTGTTATACTACTGTTAACTAACACAACGTATACTGGTCTATCTCAAGTTAACCCAGTATAGAATGTACAGAACATTTTAATAGTTTGTAATCGAAAAATATTGTGATTATTTACTGTCATAATTATAATTTATTTAAGCTAATGTAATGAAAAACTTAATTAACTTACCATTTTTATGAAAAGATTCCACTAACTCGTAATTTTCAAAAATTTCGTGTTCGTTATTTTTGTCTTCTGAGTATGTTAAATCTACTAAATTTAGCATTAGCTTTGCTCTAGCGTTTTGTTGTGTTCTATCCATGCTTATTTAAATTTAAACACAATAATTTTTGCCTTAAATCTAATAAAATTACCGTAATACACACACCTAAATTGACACACTCATGCGCCAAGCGAACGCTGTATACTGGTCCAGTGTGCACATGTCGCTTAAAGTACCCCGTCCGCGTTCCGCGTATACTGATTTCGAGTAAATTCTATTTATTGAATAAAGTAACACCTAAATATGTACTGTATGTTGTATATTACGCACCAGTTGAGTCAACGTTACAATATGGATTAGTAGCAATATGGAAGGACATTTAAAACATATTTAGATAAATTGAAGCAGTTTCAAATTAGATTTATGAAAATATTAGTGAACCCAAAGGCTAAAATAAAATATAGGGATAATTACGAGCAGCTCTTCCAGGAGTGTAATTTAATACCGATACATGAGCAATTTAAAATATCATTTGCGACATGTGAAAAGTATTATACAATCTTATGTGACGCATTGGGTAGTTTTATCCTCATAAATAAGAATACGCGCAAACCGCATAAAGTAATAACTTTACAATATAAATGT